ATTCAGGGCTTAATACTTCGACTTGAAAATCCATTGTTTATCCACTCCCTTTTATTATAATATTCTAACACGATATTTTTTTATTTCGCTCAATTTCGAATTTATTTTATGTTACATTTCGTATAAGGTTCATTATTTTTGTATTTTAAGGTATATTTACTACTTATGAGGAAGTCTGAAAACGATACAGATGTTAAATTCTCCACTGATTTGGATGAAAGTAAAAAGGATTCAAATTTTGGCGATAGGTGGGCATTATTGCCGCCGCCGAACGATCTTGAGACAGCTAAATGTTCTGCAGACTTTATTGTCGATTGCACTCGTCGTTTCTCATCAGATACATCACCTCATGTTACCGTTGAGTAAGTCTTCAAGGTGCTGTCAATTATTATTAACTTTTCAATCTTATTTTATACTCTTCGAAATATTTTAGATGGGTTAAAGCAATGGAAAACCTTACGGAACATCTCCCTATCGGGCTGGCTCACTTGTATATTCATGATAAAGATGCATATGAGGGTAAACACATCATTTTTGAAATAGTCATGTTAGCTTTAGCTCAGCATCTATATCGAGCTTGATTGTAATTTTGCTTCATCTTTTTTCAGTCTCTAGCACTTGTCTTGTCACCTGGCTTATATCCGGTCTTGATCTTTCTCTCGCTCTGCAACATGCCGATGTCGTTCATGTGTCTCGACATCTTTCTGCCTCTGTGAGACTAGCTGGCTTGCTCCTCAGCGCTGCCGCACCCACAGAATTAGCAAATAGCCTTCTCTTCTCGTCTAGTTCGAATAATTATCTTGATTGTCAGTCTCAAAAATTGCGACCCAGTGCCTTTCAGGTTGGTATTTGATGCCAAATCTATAGGTAGCTTGTTGGCATGATTTTTACTTTATAACTGGTATGTGCTTTGGCCAAGACGTTATGGCCCTGACAATATTGCCGATTTGCGAAAACGAGGTCGCACCACCCTATTACGTGTTCTGTTTTCATTCTTGTGTCTGCGATATCGTTTTCATACTATTTTTATCCTTCATTAAGGTCAATTTTTATATAATCATTATGTTTCGTATTTACATTTTTGAGTCACTCTACATGTAAGGGCCGTTACAGCCTACAGATTTAGTTGTCTTATGTATTTGTTCCTTGGTTTGAAGTCTCAAGCCTCAGAAACTGTGCTTTTCAATAATAGTGATTAATTTGTAATTTATTTCAAATTCATTAGTAGTCATGCCGTAAGTATAATGCTCTCTTATGCGGTATATATATATATATATATGAAGTTATATGCCTACACTTTCGACATTGTCCAATCATCTTGACTACCAACACAGATATATGTAATAACAGGGCTCCATCAAGTATTCATCTGAAGTTAAATGGTGTCTACTCAATCATATTTATTACATGATACCAAGCCTCCATATTGGCACATTGCCTGGAGCATATTAAAAAGAAGCTAGTAAAAATCCTTTTAAATTTTCCTAACTCAAATATAACTGTATTTATACACTTATTGGACTGGATAACTC